CTACAGTTGTAGCCATGTCTTTTACAGGTGCTGGTGTGAAGCAGTGCACAGGATGTTAGTGTCCGAGTGGGCAGTTTGTATTCACAGTTTGCAGAGGCCTCCGGCGCTTTCTTTACGCACATGCTGAATTTCCTACGTGGCTGTTAGATATTATCACACTGGAAAATGGGCTTGCAGGACCACTGGTGACTTCCAAGCAATTGTGTGTGTATGCCTGTGTGTGTGTGTGTGTGCGTAGTCACAGCTTGTGTTTACACTACGTTAAATATGCTCATCTTTTTTTCCTCCGCTTTTTTCATGTTTCTGTTTTACTGAAAGGACTTTGAATCAAAGTGTCTGTGTGAGAGAAAGAGTGAGAGACGCTGTGTGTATGAGTGTGTGTGTGTGTGTGTGTGTGTGTGTGTGTGTGCATGCAATTGCAGTTTTGGCAATTGCCCAGTCACAGCCTGGTGCACACCATTAGGAGGTGCATGTGTGTGTGTGGGACCTAAGCAAGGAAACTTTAACTCCATACCCCGAGACACACAGCTCATTTTGCAGGAAAAACACACCAGGACACTGACACAACTCAGCTCTCATTCCAGGCAAATTCAAAACAGATCTGTTGTCAACAAATTTGATTTGACCTGTCAAACCATTTACAGAGGTATTGGATCTCAGTGCCACACATATCTGCATTCCTTTTCTACGAGTAAGCCTTGTGTTTGGATCATTCTGTGACAAACATGTCGGTGTTCCAACATACTCAAGGCTTTTCATGACAAACAGGCAGGCTGTTTGCTTTTGAACGGGACTTGAATCATTCCTTAATGCTGGATCAAGTTAATTTCCATCCCCTCTGTCTAAGTCTCTCTCTGTCAGTGCCGAAGATGAGGTGGCTGTTGGGAGATGTTGGTGAGAAATGAAGTGCTGCCACAGACTGTTTAAAAATATTGGACATAACCACTGAGATGTAACTGATTTTTTATTTTATTTTTTTTTGTGGATTCTCACTTGAAGCCTCAAGTTTGGCATTTTAGTTGTTGCAGTCTTGGATTCTTGGAGCCATTCACAGACAGTCTGTCACTGAAAGCATCCCCACCCTTAATCATGCATAACTAAATCATAAATGTAAATGGGTGACTTATATGACAATTCACCCCTTGTACAGTTGTCATGACCAAGAGGCAACCTCTGGGGCTGAAATATGATGCCAAGGAAGAAGTGCCGAACGAAATGCAGTTCTTTGGATGGCCACTTAAGGCTGGCTCCAGAGGCGAGTCAATCCCCATAGACACCCATGTGAAAGTGCCTGTCGTTACAGCAGAAATAAACATGGTTCAAAAAACAGCTTTCGTCTCTATAGCTAATTTCCCCCTTCGTGACAGCTGTGGAGGGCGTGAATTTTTTTTTAACTCATCCATTTACATTTTATTAAGGCTTAAAGATACACAGAATCGAGGGCTGTCTGCTGATAATGTGTTTGGTCTCCGTAAGATCGACCCCTCGCTCCTCCACAGTGCCAGCCTCTTGCCCAAATACGTTCATTTCTGGCTCCATCTTCTTGAACTTGAGGCTTCAAAATGGGAGACCACAAACTAATAGTTGACATCACAGTAGCCACATCCATTATTTTTTACAGTGTATGGTCATGACCGGAGAAATAAGCTATAGAGACCAAAACCGTTTTTGTACCAGGCTTTAAACATGTTTATTTCTGCTGTAAAGTTGGGCATTTAAACATGGGTGTCTATGGGAATGACTCGCTTCTGGAGCCAGCCTCAAGTGGCCATTCAAAGGACTGCAGCATTTTTTTTTTGGCACCCCCTCCTTGGCATCATTTTCAGCCCTGGAGGCTGCCACTTGGATGCTTTTCGCTGCTGCACGTCGCTCTAATTTATCTACCCTAAGGCAGCGCTAGAGGGGAGGGCCGGAGAATTCACCATCATTATTTGTATGGAGCTGTCTAGAAAGCTTTAAGTGATCTTTAGGGGCTTTAGATTACTGAGGGCCCTCCTCAACTGAGGGACGGCGATTTATAAGTGTTGAGCCTCGTATAAAACCCCGTGCACCTGCCTAGCCTGTGGAAAGTAGAGGAGATTGCCCTTGGCCTGAGCCAGTGAGATGGCAGCTTGTCAAACTCTACGACAGATAGAATTAATGACTATCATAGTATTACTTAAAGCCTAATTAACCAGTGGTGTTTACGTCGTGATAAATGACTGACCAGAGTGGGTTTTGGGGGTTTGAACTTCCAGAAAATTGACTGCTTGCTTTCAGTGGGATATTGTTAACATTATACTTTTAATGTTTATTGTAATGATGTCAACCCTTGTGGATATTGGTTACAGTTTGATGTCTTTACAGGAGAAATGCAGATGAGCGGTGTATGTTTTCCACTGTGTGGCAGAGGCTAATACTCCCTGGGTGGGGGGTAGTGGGGGAATGAGGGTGCTGAATGAGTAGATTAACCACAGGAGAAATGGCACAGACAACGTAAGCCGCAAGTTGCCCACAGTGGAACAAAGTCTGCCCTAAATGTTCAGTGTAACACTATATTCAGTGCTCTGGCGCGTGTGTACGCTCATACGTATACACAAGCCCATGCAAAAACATTATTATTCTGCTCCAATGACTTACTGTGTATTTCATTTGTAACTCAGCATAGGTCCGCAGCCTCATCCCTTATTAAGGGACTGTTTGGAAAAGAACAAGCTGAGAAGAATGCAGACTCTCTCTCTCTCCTCGCTGCATGTCTGCACAGCTCCACAGTGGTTTGAAAATGTTGTGGAAAGTATTAAGGGGGCGGATATCAGGAGCTGTTTCAATTCCTGATTCTTCTCCCAGTCCATAATTTTCATGCTGCCCTAATCTTGCATCATTTTTTTGAGTTGATTAATTACTGATTAAAAGCTGAAATAATGAAAGAGGAGGCTGAAAACAACCCATGCACAGACATAGGATATTAGATGTCATGGAGATTTAGCTCTTTTTGGATTCGACCAACATCTGTCATAAATATGAAACCATAGTCCTCAAATTAGGGGTAAATGTCTCCTTCTGATTCTGTCGTAGATTATCAGATCAAGGCACTCTTGGATCGGTATGTTAAAAAGCTTTTGTGATGGCAGTCCAAGGACACGGTGCACACCATAAACCAGTCAGAGATGACGGCTGTTGTAAAGTGACCCATGCGCACCGGGCAACCTTTCCTTTGCAGTTAGCCAAGAACACTTAATGACACACACATACATAGACACACACACACACCTCACCACTATCTTAAATTGCAATGTGAATGAAATGCAAATCTTAGCCCGACAGTTACGTAAACAAGCATCTTCCACTAATTAGCGGTGACTATACATACTGTTGCAGTCACCACGAGAAGCCTAAAATAATGGACGTAGCCACGATGACGTCACCCACTGGTTTGTGGACTCCTGTTTTAAAGCCTGGAGTTTTAGAGACAGAAGTAACCTGAGGTGACCATATTTTGATGAGAAGGTGGAGCTGTAGATCCGCAAGGGGTGGATCCATCTTTCACACTTTCAGAGTTCACACCTTGCAGACAGCCTGCCTCTCAAAGCGGCCATGCCCTCTCAAGGGATACTCCGATTTTCAACCAGCCTTATATCAATACAGTGTTGGTAGTATGTTAAAATGAACTTTGGTAAACTTCCCTCCATGTTACCAGAGTCCACTTTTCCTAGCTCAGATCTGCTGGATGACATAAAAAACATCATCCAGCAGATTTTCACTGGCTCTAGGGCTGCTGCTCGAGCTACAGATTTCATATGCCCACTGCCATAAGCACGTAGAGTATAGAAGTGGATCGAGAGAAACTTCCCCTCACTCTCTCTCAAATTCAGACCTAACTCTGATCAAACGGTAAAACTAAACAGTGCTGATGCAATATAAACCAAAATTCTGTCACTGTATTACCTATTTCTCACCTAAAATGTCCTCAGAAAAATATTTCAGTGCGCTGTTTAGCTGTAATTTGAGAACTTGTGAACAGGAAGTGTTTCCCGTATTGTAAAAACTACTCTGTTTTCTTTGGTCATCTAGCACCAATTTCAAAAGTTAGTGCAACTTTCTACTTCATAGACAGTATAGGGGGTGGCTGTGGCTCAGAGGCAGAGCAGGTCCATCCTTGGGCAAGACACTGAACCCCAAATTGCTCCCGATGGCTGTTCCATCAGTGTTTGAGGCGTGTGAATGGTCACGGAGTAGCAGGTGGCACCATTTACAGTAGCCTCGGCCACCAGTGTATGATTGGGTGAACGTGATGGGTGAATGTAATGTTGAGCACTACAAGTGGTTGGAAGAAAAGAAAGGCACTATACAAGCCCAGTCCATTTATAGTTTTATGAAAAGACCATCTTTCCAGCCGTAAAATACTTCTTCAACTATGTGTAACTTTAAGCCTTAGTAAAGAGGTGAGTCACAACAGGAGAAATTGCTTGCTTTCTTTCTCTTTACACAATGAACTCTTAGCAGAAGTGTGGCTTGAGAGGGCACAAGATTCAAGAGTCATTCCTACTTTGATTAAAAAGGTCATACAGTTAATAAGAAAACATCCAGTAATTTCACATATAGTTTTTAACAAATTCTTTAACATGTACGCAGAGAAGAAGAAAATTAAACTCCACTACATGTCACGAGGGGAAAATGTGGATAAAGTGTGTGAGTGTGATATCCAGGGAAACTGTTTGGCCGAGTTTTACGTTGGTCTTCTTTCACCTACAGCAAAGATAGCTGTCATAAAGCTGAGCTGCACAATACAGTATGAGGTATTGGACATAGAGCTGCTGAGGTGTTTGCCAAGATGCTGAAACGACCATAAATCGAATTGCGCAGCTGTGGGCCTGTGTGTACATCCAGTTGTGTCTGAATTTAGAAACCCCCATAAACACACATACTGACACAAACGTTTTGGGGGGCAGGGGTATATTTTAGATTAATGTGTCTCTTTCTGTCTCCTTTTCCTTCCTCTCTCTATTCATCCCGACCTCCAGCTGGGTTCAGGAGGAGCTTCCGTCTGAGCAGGAGGGACAAGAAGACCAACAAGTCCATGTACGAGTGTAAGAAGAGCGACATGTACGACATGGCTGACGTGCCCACGTACGAGGAGGTTGTACCGTTCCGCAGGCAGAGTGGAGCTAAACACAGGCTGGTGGTCCTTGTAGGTGAGTAGAGAGCTATACTCCAAAATGCCACTGTTGTCAAGCTCTGATGTCACTGCTTACCTCACACTCCGTTTTTGGGGGGGCTCTACTCCTGTTAATCTTGGCACCTTAGATTTTAATAAAAAGCCTCACCTCCCAGCGTGGTGACACATACAGATCACAGAAACGAGTGTGACTCAGAGTTTTGCAGCTCCAAAAGCCCCAGGTGGCCTGGCCTTGCCCTCCCCTGACCCCCAACTCAGAAATGAGCTTCCCAACGCGGGGACTCAAAACCCACCGTCGCTCTGGGCCTCCTTAATTTAGACTTTTAGCACTCTGAGGAATCGACGGAGCAGACCTCATATTAATCAGTCACATTTAGTGCTTTCATTTACGGCACCTCACTCTCAATGTCCTTTCAATTTTTTGAGCCGACAGAATTGTTAACACTTGCCTCGAGGAGCGGGTGTTACAAAGCCCTCCAAAGAGTTTATAACGTGCCAAGGTCTTGAAATGAATTTAGCGGTTTCTCATTTTGTATTTGTGGTTGGAAGACGAGCGTTGCCAGTGAATGGTGGAACAATATGCTAAGCCAGGTGCAACAGCAAAGACTTAAATCTTTCTTGGGACCAACTGTACCATCAGTGAGCCTTTCCACATTTTCCTTTTTAGGTTTGTTACTCATGACAAAAAATGACAAGAATGTCCCAGACACCGACGGAACAAAACATTCCCTGAATTTTCAATGTGATTCCTTCCAATCTATTTCCATTCATCAAGGAGTGAGACCTTAAGTCTGTTGCGGTCTTCATCTTTTCATTTCACATATTTTGACAGCAGTTTTTAAACATTTGTAAGGTTAATCCAGAAGTGAACACCACTGGCAACAAGGTCGCACTCTTTTTTTATCTCTCTCACGCATGCTCTCTGCTGAGGCTGTGCTCCCAGCCTGATTGACCAGGCCTTGGTTCACTTAAATCCACCACACAGAGCATGGACTTCATCAGGCGTGTTGCTAATTAGCGAGCCCATTTTCCTGCCAGCGTGCTGTAGCCTTACACAGAGGATGCTGAACCTCTCCCACCTGTCATGCTAATGTAAATATTTTCAATTAACGTCCATAATTTGGAGGACAACCTATGGACAATTTCACACGTAACGAAGCGGAGGGCCAAGGAAAGATCTGCTTTATGTTCCTCTGCCTCCCTCTCTCCTTCTTCCTCTCCCCAGAGTCTCTTGATTTTTCTTATTCTAAATCTTTTCCTCTCCAACGCTTTTCCTTTGGTAACTGCTCTTTCCTTTTTCTGTTCAGGGTTCAGACACATTATTCCTCACTATAAGGTCATGTGTTTTCAACAACTCTTCAGTCCATCAGAGGAAGATGATTAGTTTAAAAATTCAACACGCAACAGCCCCAACTTCAAACCTGTACCATTTTCAGGCCCTGTCACATATTTTTGAAAACAAGTATTTGTCCCCTTCATTTAAAAAAAAAAAAATTCTGTCCACACAATCTTCATTTTTCAAAATATCTCTGTTCACACTATAACCCAAAAACAACATCTAAAGCTGGCTGATGTTAGCTGTCTTCAGCAGTCTCCCCTTGTCACAAAGGTAGTAAAGTGTTCAGGGTAATGTTACCTTTTTCAAAACACCGGAGATCTCATCACTGTTGATTCCTGTTCAATATAAGGATGAAGGAGCTCATTCATACATACAAGTTTCTCATCGACAACAATCCCATTCCGGAAAGATTCAGAAACATCTGCTGGTTTGACCGGGTCTAATCTAAAATCGGTAATTTGAGGTCCGTGAGGTGATACAACAACACAAAGTTTAAGTGTAAAGTAGTCATCAGACCAAGCAGGTCATTATTGTTGTTTCTATTGTATGCCCATTACATCAAGCAACAATGGACATGCACAAATCAAGGATTTGATGTTATTGTTTCCCAAAAGCTTCATGTGATATGTCTGCACAGTAACCAAAATTTTAGAAAAATCTTCACCTTTGACGGCGTTTTAAAAAAATCTGTTTCAGTGAAAAAAATCTCAGTTTGTGTGTGGGCAAGATGCCAAAATCTAGAAGAGACCGTTTTTCAAAAATATCTGTATACATGTTGACAGGGCCTCAGCCTTCATCCCAACAACTGACCATTCACAGCATATGTATTTTATAATTATACCAACGGCAGCCATACCACTGAAATTTTAGAAATTATTTAAACAGTGGAGGGACCTGATTTCAGACAGACACAGACAAAAAGCAGGCGTCTCATTTTTTAGCAGGCAACTGTCGATTTTATCAGCTGAGGTTAGCTGGTTTTGTCGCCAACAAATTTTAGCAGTTATAATTAGCTAGCTACTCAATCTAACGTTAACTCCATGAATTCTTGACAATGATGTATCAGACTGACTTGTAGTGTTTTCAGCTAACTCATTCAAACAAAGAACCTGTTAAATATGAACTTGACTGCCACTTACACGATTTCCTCTCAGGAGACTGAGGCTAAAGCTAAAGCTAACTGGTTTCTGCTGTTTGGCTCAGGAAGTCTACTGTAAGTAGAACGCTTGTTAGCTGGACATGCTAACAACTAGAACTTATGTTAGAGCAGATAAACACACTGTGTAATCCGTTCCCTACACTCCTGCTGTTTTGTTTTGTGTTTAAAAGCTCCTTTCATACTACAAGCAACACAGCAACAAGCTACATGTCATTTTAAATGGAAGCCGGTGACATGATGCTAGAAACTGACGCTCGACACCTGTCGCTGCTGACAAGCGTGACGTGCTACAAACCAAAGTTGAGCTTGCAACAACTTTTTTTCAGCGCTCCAATGATGCAATGACGCAACAACCCAACAAATGGCTTGTTTTTAGCTGTAGTACTGTGTTCTTTAGCTTTTGTTAGCTTACGCTATGCTAGCTTTCTGTGTATTGCGGTGCACATGGAGATGCAGCGGGGTGGTGGTGTTAAAATGGGCTCAGACATTGATGGAAAGCACAGGTATTTTATGACCAAACACAAACTTTAGATGGCGTTCAGCATGGTGCTTTGGAGCCATGGGGAAAGTAGCAGACAGACACAAGCATGTGACAGTGAAGCTACGGTAACGAGCACTTGAGCAGCACATCCACAGCGACTCGGTGATAATGTAGCTGGTCACAAAGTAATTAAGTAATGAGTGGAGGAAGGGGTTAAACAAAACGCTCAGTGTAATCGCAGCTTAAGAGAAGAAGTAAAGTCTCCATTTGGAGTTGCAGTCAGGTAACCACTCTCAACGCCTGACATGACCTCAGCAGCACTTTTTCGACGCTGCTCCAGGACAACCCCCACATTATTTTGATATCAAACATCCCATCTCCCAAAGCTTTCCAGGAATGCCTGAAGGCATTTCTTCATTAATGTGGACGCACGGTTCCACAGTACCCACTAATAAATGACCCACTGCCCACCTCTCGCACAAACTGAGATCTGTTTCAAAGACAAATCAAGATGCTTATCTGGGTTTTTATACATTTGAAATCAGACGGCCAATAAAAATATATTTTTACATACTGCATGCATAGTTTGACAAAACCACTGATGGTTTTGAAAGAAGTCTGATTATTTAACCTGACAAAATGGTGTGTTGATTTCCACATTTCCTTGTAACTCGACACACTCAACTTACAGTAAGATGTTGATGAACTGAAAGTTTTTAGTTTGGGGTTTAGCCCTAACCTATTTCATATACACCGATGCGTAAGTGAATATTTATGTGGTATCCAAATATATAAAATCAGAACATTATTTCAACTCTTGCTGAATTCGTAGTAGCGGTGCATTGTAAATGAGCCATGGTTACCACACTGCACCACTGTCATCCTTTAAATGTGGCTGCAGCAAAGCCAGCAGCGAGTGCTGTAATGTAGCCTGCCCTGGATGTGAGGCGGGCTGGGAGGTTTGAGGCTGGGTCGTGGCTCTGGGGCCCAGAGCCGGGCCTCGTCGGGCCTGGCCTCGGCCTCTCGGCACAGACTGCATGCGATGTGCTCCACGCTTGGCCTGGAAGTTATTAAGCTCGCGATATTAAAAGCAACTTCTCTAATGAGTGCAGTAATGAAATCTGACACTTTTACTGGCACAGCAATCTGCAAGGCCAGGAGTACCGCAAGAGGGCCAGCGAGAGAGACAAATGGAGGGAGAGAAAAACACATAAACACGATGTAAATACGGCAGTTTAGTCCAGAAAATGTGTAAGAGTTATGCCTTTTTTTATTGTGGCGTTCAGATTTATAATGTTGCTGTTGTATTGGGGCATTGTTAAAGACAAACAATGCACAAAGAGGTGGCGTGTTTAAGGTCAGACGGTGGAACAGGACCACAGGGCACAGCTTCTGCTTGTAAAAGACCTGGTGGTGGGCTTGTTGGGCCCCTTGGCAGGCGGTGGCACAGCTGGAATAAGCTTTAATCGCCATCTGAGGTATTCTGACAAAGGCCTGCTGCCATGCATCATTGATATCACAAGTGGCGAGCAAGGGAGCGATGTACAAGGTGAAAATGGTTTTACGACCTTACAGAAGTGGGGCCGTTACTCATGACGTGGGTAGCAGAAATGGCTTTGCTGGTCCCCTTCGCTCGAGTCCTAATACCCGCGCTCAGCTTCATGCAAACAAGCTTGTGTGGAGCTTTGCGGCCTGCCGGGAGGACTGTCTGCACCACTGTGATAGGGCTCATAAAAGAGCCTCTTTTACCACGCTCTGCCACCTTCGGCACCTACAACAACATTGGTCCATGGCCTTGTTCAAACAGCACCGCCGCATTCCTCTCGCGCTCCCGAAACAAATTCAAAATGAACTCCATTTCCTCATCTTAATAAATCACCCAAGCCCTCAACCCCCAGGTACTCTGACTTTTTTCTTGACTGAAAAACTCCCTCTCCCCAGCTAAGATTGATTGCTGTCTTCACTTGGCCATGTGCTTGTTTATGAGAGACGGTAACCACAGAATGCCTCGCGCCGTCGGACCAAAGAGGGCTGGGGTATTTTTCTCTATTTTTTTCCCCCTCTTTTTGAATTCACAGTGCAAGCGCGCTGAGGGAACAGCTTTTATCACTTACAGCAGTCCCACAATAGGACCCAAAACCATGTGTTACTGGGTGCAGAAGTAAAGGGAAAGCATGGGGTGTGAATTTGTCTGTGTGTGAAGGCTGCCAGTGTTCAGAGATTACGCTTAAAAGAGCCTCGTTGTCCACACCTATTTATCAGGTTGTGGATCACTCTAAAACCTTCCTGCTTCACACCAGATGAAATGTAGAGGACCAGCGCAGATAGCACGAGAGGAAACAGGAGCGCTCTTTCTCCCAGAAATACAGAGCTTGTTTTTTTCTCCTGCTCTCTCCCTCGTCTCCCTCTCCCTCTCTTTCCACCTAATCCGCATCGCTGAGTGAACTCATTGTCCGTTTGTTTTAGAGGAGCAGCCTGCTAAACACATTTGCCTGGAGAAATGAATTTCCAATAGGGTTTGATGCGATTGTAGTGCCTGCCCAGAACGTCAGGCATGCAAGGAATCTCGAGCCCAGATCAAGCACTGTCTCTAACTGTCCACACACTGCTGTGGTAAAACACTGAAACGCCCAGCCATGCACTTGTTACTGCAAAGCTGATTTCTTGTCCAGTGTGCTGAAGACATTGATGCCAGTCGGATCAAATTAGGATGATGTAGCACCCGTGTAACAACCACCAAAATATTGCTGAATAGCTTTAAGAGACAGAGTAGATAAAGAGACAGAGGAGGAACTGTAAAAGAAGACAGGACATTTGGAGGTAGATTCAGTGACTTCCACCAAACCAAAACCAGTGTAAACAAGGTTCTTAGATGGGTAATGTTGTTATCTCTGCATCTACTAAGGGCATGAAATTAAGACCTTCATACTTCACGATATTTCTGCAAAACAGTTTCCAAAGCTGCCGTATTTTTTGTGTTCCTTAATATCAAATTAAGTTACTCCCCTCAGCTTGATTGGGCTTTACCATCTCCACATGTTGGACAGTTAGCTACAGTATTAAATGCTGGAGAGATGCTCAGCTTTTCGAGCCACAGATGAATCAATAGTCAATACTCCGATAATCTCTCCTGCCTTCTCCTCTCTAATTCACTGCCTCAGTTTCCACCCTGGGGATGTGATGGAAAAACCGTGTGACTTGTGACAGTACGGGAAAAGGCTGCCTGACCTCTGCTGTGTACCTACATTATACTGGAGGTTTAATGTTCTGAGAGAAGAGCTGATTAAAAACGACCTGTAACTGTAGCTTCCTCACATTAAATCAATTATCTTTGCTCTAAAGTTTTTCACTGAGTTGATTTTGTTTTAATAAAATAGGAAATTGAATTCACACTGTGGCGAACTGATTTAACATTATATAACAAAAACACTGAACAACACTTTCTTAGAGGAAAACAGTGACACTGGTCAGAGGACAGAGAAGCTCAAGATGAGATGGGATAAAACTTTATTGATCCCAGAGGAAAAATTCAGATTCAGATTGTCATTTTAATAGTGAAACATAAAAACGAAATACTGTCTCACATCTAAAACTGGCAAAATTAAAAGTTCACAGTGCAGTGAAATTATTCAATTAATAAATAGATAAATAATTTAATCTAAAATGGAAGTTAATTCATGTTACCGCGAGACAGGCAAGAAAACAGATAAAGAACTATTTAAACAAAATGGGTAAAAATAAAATAAAATAAATAATAGAAATTTGGGAGATTACCTTGAAAAATTGTATAATAAATAAAGACGATATACATAATAATATATGAAAGTGTATTGTGATAAAAGTAATATAATGCACGATAAAATAACCCAGAGTTAGATGTTTAACTAATTATTATTACTAATTATGGGGCAAAAAAAATGATACAGCACAGTATCGCGATATTTTTGTGTGGTAATATCATATCGTCACACGGTGCTAAGTATCGATCTTTTTAATTATATAAATTATTAACATTACAAATATAACTTTAACTTTAGGTAGCCTATTTTTCATAATAAATCATAATATGTTTTACCTCAGTACTCAGCATATCGCAACATATTTTAAATCACAATTATATTGTATTGTGACTTAGATGTCCTGATAATATTGTATCATGGATCCTCTGGTGAATCCCACCCCTCATAATAATTCATTCATTCATTCATTTTCTGTAACTGCTTATCCTGTTGAGGGTCGCGGGGGGGCTGGAGCCTATCCCAGCTGACACTGGGTGAGAGACGGGGTACACCCTAGTGTGTTGCACGCTAGCAATTAGCTCGCCTTGCTCCGTTAAAATATTGTTAACTTTAACATGGCCCGAGAAAGCTTAAGGTAAATATCTGCTCCTTCTAAAGATGATTTATGATTTATGACGACTTATTAAGAGACACTGACACATTCAGCAAACATTTAACATAATTCAGTGTTAACTGTAGCTCCGTGTAATGTGAATAAATGTGATGTTTCCCAGCTAATCGTCCGCTCGTCTGCGTTAACGATGTCGTTTACACGTTATTTAACTTCTGATTTATTAAACTGTTCTGAGCTGAATTCAGCAGCAGATTCAGTAATAGAAATATGAAGTAGGAGTAAAAGAAATAACTTTTGGCATTCATTTTTTATATGATATAAAGGAAGTACGGTAAATCAGTAACACATTCTCAGCCCTCATGACTAAATACATATTTCAAGGTGTCATTCTCTTCTACAAATTCTGATTTAATACTTTTTTGCTATGTCTCGGTAAACTCTTGTGGTTTTATTTCTCATATCAATAGTACCTTTGGCAACAGGAAGAATCACTTTTTGTTCTGGTTACAACACAGTTGCTGGAGACAGAAATTTAGCTTAGACTGGTTGTTAGTCGTTACAGACAGAGACAGTGCAACAGGTACCAGAACTCTGCAAAGACATTTTAGAAAATGCTAAGTTAACATTAGTTTAATGTTTGTTAAAAAAATGAATCAGTATTTGCGAAACTGAAGGCAAAGTACTTTAGAAAAGAACCAGCGTTGGTGGGTAGCCACCAAGAGTAGCCACTGGGACTGGCAGTGGTGATGGATTCTTTGACCTCTGTCATATATATTCATAGTGTGTTTGTGTTTGTGCAGGACCCACAGGAGTCGGCTTGAACGAGCTCAAGAGGAAACTGTTGATCTCAGACCCCCAGCACTTCAGCGTGACCATCCCACGTAAGTTCCCTCCACCCATCCCACTGAGGTTAGATCACATCTGTGTGTGCGTGTGTGTTTCTGTGGCCAAATCCTGCATTAATTTAGCATCTCCCAGTAGGTGCCATTTGTCCTCCAGTCTTTCCTCTCTGTGCGTTTCTTCTTTCTTATTTGTGCGTATCTGTTTGTCTTATGTGTGAATGTGTGTTTTATACATTGCGTCCACCGTAAGCCTTTTAGCAGACGATGGTTTTTTAGACCTGAAATTCATCGGCAAATAACTTTTACAGGGAAAGAAAATACCATTTGGCTTCCTCCGCACGCTGCATTCACACCAGCGTATAAGAAAGCCAGGTGCACGGTGGGACATCAGAAAACAGCACATACAATAATTCTGTTCAACCTGCAATAAAAAGACTTTAAATTACAACGTGTGACAGACTCACAAAATATTCAAATGTTTTATAGGTTATATTTTAAATAAAAGTTCAGGTTTGAAATATTACAAAGTCAGTTATAGAATCGGAAGCACCCACACTCAGTATTGCTGTTTTATAGTTTTATTCTCTTATTCTGTATTTCTGTTTTTATATTTGATCTTAAATAGGACAGAATATACTGTATGATGAGCAAGTGAACACATTTTTATCATTCAAATTTGTTTTTTGTCCTGTTTTTACTGCAGAAAAAGTAAAGTTAGTCACGTCAGTTTTGGCATTTTTGCTTTTATTTCGACAGTGAGACAGACAGGAAACCTGGAATTGAACTGGGGACGTTGCATGCCTCTTCACCGCCAGGACACCCAGGCAAAAATATTATCATGAAGCTTTGTTTCTATGTTCTATAAACATTTCTAGCAGCAAGTGAGCTGTCAGTTTAACTGATATGACCTTTGGAGAAACTTACTACAAACATCAAGATGCTCAGAAACATAAAACAAGGACAAAAGATTGGTGGTGTTGTTAAGCTGCTGTTCTTTGGAGGAAGGACCTCTAACATTTAATATCCGACGCTACAGCTGTGTTGGCTCTGCTCGTCTCAGTCTGTTTGTTCACAAAGAACCTCTTGTACACCTGTCCACTGAAACAAACACATTGGAAAGGCATTCTCGGACAAATGTAAGCACATAAGTTGCCAGATCAGCTACACAGACAGCACCCGGTGCACCCTGTGAGTTTTTAAGCAACAAATCAAAATAATCAGTTTGGGTGAAGGATGTTTAGTTTACTTGTTCCAGTTTAGTTTTCACAGTGTGTGAGCGTGTGTGCTGCTTGAGCAATGAAGGCCCAGTCTGACACACACACACACACACACACACACACACACACACACACACACACACACACACACACACACACACTCAAAGGGAGCTGTCTGGCAGTGAGAAACATCCAGGGCTCGGCTGGTCCTCTCAAGGCCCAGGCAGTTGTTTCTCCTCCTGTGTAATTGTCAGCTTTTCACAGTCTGCCTGACAAGCTCCGAATGATGGAGGAAACTGCGTTTTTCTACCTCCTGAAGACATGCCATTCCACTGCTTCATGAATTGGCACCGAGCTACACGCTCTCCTTTCTTTCTCAGCTTATTTCTCACTTTCTTTCTGTCTCTTTCTGTCTCTTTCCTCAGCTGCCTCCTCCTTTTTTTTCTCCTTTTAAGGACCCAATGACAGCTTGCCATAATTCTGAACACCATCCAGACGACTGGCTCTCCAAGCTTTGGGAGCTTTCTTAGTTCTGTGCAGCTCTGAGATATCCCGAAGCCAGCACGTTGGGACAAATAAATCTTTTTGATTTATACATTTAAACAAGGCGATGGCATTAGTAATTGCATAGTTACCATCTGGGGCTTGGAGGGAAACTGCAACATGACTTTGAGGAAATATGAGGGCCGCTGATATTAATTGCCATGTTTGTTACATGCCGTGTGGCATAATGGATGTGTCCCAGTCGAAGTCTGACACTTGAAATGTCGCTGGTATTAAAATCCCATCGGTGGGGCCTTTTCTTTTTTTTCCACGAGGCATGTTAATTGTTCTCAAATGTGACCTGTGATGCTGTGTTTAATAGAGCCCAGACAGCCTGATTCTGACCCATATAGAAGACGTATGGCACCAGTCCTGGCTCTTATTGAGAGGAAAGAGACTCGGAAAGTATCTCGTCTCCTTCTTTTTTAGTGTTTGATTGCTGCCAATGGACACATGGATGTGTTTAACACTTGCTGTTGTTTAGGATTAAGCCTGAAAGCGTTACCCTTTTTGTTAATTTGAAAACCGGAGCTTTGGAGACCACCGGCTTGTGGCATGGTTACGATTTTTTTCTCTCTCTCTCTTTCTCTGCTTGTCGCTGTAAAATGTAAACCAGCCGTCTAAGAAACACAAGGAGCATTGCAATAAGCCATTAGAGTAGGGGGTTAAACATTTTGATTCCAGTCCAAGTTTACTTATATTTTCCATGATTTGGGATTGAACGGATGCACATTCTTTTGTTGCACTGTAATTATTTTCTGTGCCACAAAACAGATGCCAAAATAACGCATGGTGGATGGTGTTGGGCGAACTACCGAGGGGGCTGTTTGGCTGTGTCTTACACATTTCTGAATGGGAGGTATAAGTATATGTTATCTTATGACAAGGCTGTTTTGGCCTCCTCCTCGTGTTTTTCCTACTGTTGTCTGGGGCTGACGACAGAAAGTCATTGATCTTCCTCAGTGTCCTCTCCACCACAGTTGGATTTATGGCTGTCTTTCCTTCTCAAGCAAGTGACACATTGTATAAATCACACCATTGGTTTTCCATGAACCCTGCAGATCAGTCTGGACTGTATAAAGGAAAGGCGCTGGTCCACTACCAGGGCACAGCCTCAACACATGCTGACAAAAAGAACAACTCAGAGGAGAGTAAAGCGGAGCTTGGCAGTTTGGGTCGCGGGTGATAAAAGTTTAATAGTTTGTTTTGGAGCTGGTCAGGGTGTCTGACGGGCGCACACTCTCCCCTCTGACCTTTGAAGCACTCCTGAAAGGAGTCGGAGTGTGAGTCGACCCCTTGACCCTTACAAATCCTCCGACGCTGCCTGCTCACGTTCCCTCCACGTGCTGCCCCCACCGCCCATTTTACAGCAAGGCTTTATGGTTTATGGCCAAGTAAATGTAGAGACTTGATGTTAATGAGAGCTCCCAAACTCAATTACCTTGCAGCGGCTAACACTGGCGGCTAACGCTACGGCTTCTGTTTCTACAGGCACTGCAGCCACATTACAAGAGACAAATTTAATAAGACACAGTAAACCTCTGCTGAATGTCAGTTAAGTGTCTGAGTTTAGTGCTGCAGCACTACAGGTTGTGTATTTTATAGAGCTATTACACAATAATATATACAAGGGTTGGCATGGCCCAGCATGCTGTGTTGCAGACTTCCAGCGATGTTAATAAGGGGCTCAGTTCAGATGCTTTCAGCCCCAACAGTGAGTCAGACAGTCTGGGTTTGAGGTAATCACTCCTTCTCCTCTCCTCTCTTGCAGACACCAGTCGGGCCAAGAAGAACCAGGAGACCGACGGCGTGGAGTACCACTTCATCTCCAAACATCTCTTTGAGACGGATATCCACAATAACAAGTAGGCACTGTGCATAATATAAGACCAAACCAACACACTGTTCAACCTTTAGATTCTAACTTTAGTGGACATGTACTACAGATATCCATGATGTTTACAACAGATATCCAATGTTTACAACTTTAAAAAAGTAACACCTCAAGTGAAAAATCAAGTCTCACAGCTCTTCTTCTACATGCAGAGGTTCTCCCCCCACATTGCAAATACAAATATATCCATATACCAAATACCTGTTATCTCTTTTCTTAAGAAAGCAAGATGATTCTTGGGTCATGAAGTTGGTTCCAGTGTCTCTAAATACTAATAATTATAATAATTATAAGCATGAAGAAAGTTGTAGTTTTGAGGGCCAAAAAGTTAAAAATATATGGTGTTATAAGAATAAAGTTATAGTATGAAGAGCCAAGCGTTTAAAACACCTTTAAAAACAAAATGTCTTCATCTGTTCCTAACGTCTTGAACGTGGGTTGATCCCTGCGCTCTTTGGCTCAGCTGTCCTCCACCAAATCCCCGCTGTGCTCCAGCTGCTGACTAAAAACATTCTTGGATATACAACTCATACATCGCATAATTAGTTTCCTTTCAGTTAAGTATCTTAAACTATGATAATATGGATCTTGCTGTTAAAATGTATAACATCAAGTCACCCACATTCCATCCATTTTCATGTGACACGAAAACTGTTGTAATATCTCGTAATTTTTCAGCTTCAGTCTCGAAATATCAGAGCTTTATTTCTTGTTGAATTATGACTTTATGCCCATAACATGACATTTTCTCAAAATGTTTTACTTTTACTAAATGAATATAATTTACTCAGTTAAATTATGATTTTAAATAGCTATAGATATTTGCATATGGAAAGCTGGAACTAGCAAATGTTGGGCATGTTTTCTTTATAAGGGACCTAAACTAGTAATCTAGAAGCTTAAAAGTAATGATATGTGTCCAAATCACATATATACAGTGTTTAATGTTGTTTCTTGCTGTTTCAGAGTTTAATGAAAAAACCTGTTTGTAGTATATGTGAAATTTAAAACTGGTCTCGCTGATGAAAACAGCAGAACTCCTCTCCATCTGTGCTCTGGACCACTAGAGGCAGTGCGGCTGGTCCAGCACTTGCTGCCATTGTTCAAACACAGCCTCCCTGCTGTCGTCTGTGTGTCTCTGTAACCGAGTGTGAGCTGGTGTTGACAGGGCCGGGCCCTGTGTTGGTAACAGATCTCCAGACAGTGGCCCCAAGGTCTCCTGTCTCTGCTTCCTCCTCTCCTTAGGCGCTCTCTCTGAATGCAGCCACACCACGGCCCGCCTTGACATTTGTGGCCTACAAATTGAAATGCAAGTTGTAATAGTCATAAGAATGATTGATGCCTTTCTGCTAGTCTCACACGAGCTGGAAGAGGGGAAAAAGATATACTGTAGGGTGCACATGCAAAACATTTACGCACGCAAACACACGTACACAGACTGCATATGACATACTGTAGAGGGAAGCCTGTGGTGGTGAGGGCATATAGAGTGTCAGAGCATGCAGGGAGAAGAAGAGAAAGGGGGGCTGTATATTTAGGCCATGTTGCGGTGTAGGTCGAGGCATGCAATGTTTTTCAGGGAGTCGGAGGGGTGAGTGACAGAGCTGTGATGTGGGGTGGATGCGTGGGACACTCCACGCTGAAATTACAAGGCAGCGAAGTAGACGAGGAGTGAGATGAACTTGTTTGCGTTATGCCTCATCACATGCAGCAGAAACAATGCAGAAATAAAAGGGTCCACAACAGCGTGTGTTTAGCTTGAACAACTTTCCCAAGGGAAGCCCTGTTCTGTGTCAAAATGGCAACAATACATACTCTCAATAAAGCCAAACCTCCACTGGCATGCCTCACTGTAATCTATATACCTTCTACCTCTGACGACAAACAGCGCAGAACACTGTAAGGTGTGAGTTTTTAAACACAGGCTACTGTAAGCTCTTAAATGAATTTCCCATAACCGAATATAAGGTTTGTTAGAGACTTAAGCCTCCTTTCTGAAAAAAAAGAGCTGAGTAAAACTTTCTTACATGAGCAATTACCATAAAACCTTCATTTTACATGGCATCAGTCGCACTGAGGCAGCCACTCTGTCCGACACTCGTCATGAGCAGACTGCGAGCATACCACACAGTCCTATTAGCTTCAAATTCTTTCCACGTTGTTACTCTCCTCACTGCCTTTTTTCATCCTTGTTTTCAGCTAAAAATACACTGGTGGTTTTTTTTCTCATGACAGCCGATTGGTGTGAAAGGGGGAAGATTATCTGGTGGAGAAGTGTTTGTTTGCTTGCTGGGCTAAAATCCCCCAAGATTAAAGGAGAGAAGGTTTTGGCATTCAGAGGCTTTGTGGGTCTTTCTGGAACAAACAGGTGTTACTGATTGAGAGGGTTGCATCGGAGATTATATAAAAACACGCTCGGCCAGAATGTCTGGTTTTTGAGTTCTGCAAGAGAATGCTATCTTCAGATCTGTCAGCGGTCGAAAGAGTAATCCTGCTGTCTCTGTGGATTTGTAGGGTTTTTATATATCATTATTTCTAAGATGAATCTCAGGAGTGTGCTGACACAGTCGACCAGATTAGGACGAGATTCTAATGTTGCTCCTGAGGGACATTAATGTTGCATTAGATACTAATCCCTGCACACAAAAATGGTGTTTTCTTACTCAACAATCTCATCTCTTCTCTTTCTCAATCTCTTTCCATCTCACCTCTCAGGTTCATCGAGCATGGCGAGTACAAAGGGAATTATTATGGGACAAGCCTAGACTCAATACGCTCCGTCCTCTCCAAGAACAAAGTGTGCCTATTGGATGTCCAGCCTCATGTGAGTGACCCAAACCCTTCCTATCTTTGTCGCTATCCTTCATCCCTGTATAGCCCTTAGGCACCTCTGCCCCTACCTACCTTCAGAAGCAGATCTCTCTCGCCCCTTTGCTTTCCTGAGGCTATGGCTGCTCACTGGGTTAGCAAAACTGGGTTTTAAAGGGGGTGTTTTGAATAAGCAATTACCGCTAATTTGCTCTATTTGAAGATTTCCTCTTTGGCTTGTATGTCCTGGGTGGTGACCCCACACCAATGGCCAATGAGCCCCAACAAACCCTTGAGGATGATTCCCGTTAGTCCAGGGCTGGGCCCATATTGTCCAGTCTGTCCCCACCAGCTCCTTTCTGTTTGTTTTTGCTTGGCGGATAATGACAGGCACAAATACACCATTATATAGATTAGCCTGGCAGGTTCTCAAACCACCCTGGCCTGAGCAGCAGTGAGAGTCAGCCCCAGGGCCTTCAGCTAAAGTGTGTGAGAAAGAGTCTGTGAAAGCTCATGTGGGTTTATGTACATTTGTGTGTGCTTTTTTGCTTTTGGCATACATTTGTGGTGTTGTGTAAGCCAACAGTCATCCCCCCTACCTCCACCATGAGCCCATTCTCTAACGTGACTCATGGATCAGATCAGTGGCAGTGTCAAAGCATGTTATTGCTCCCATGCTGACTTGGTGAGCGGCTGATGAGAGCTTAGATGAATGCTTCCCCAGTGGTTCTTCTCGTGCCCCTCCTTTGGCTTTTTATCCATCTTCCTATCAGTTGTGGGTTTTGGACCCACTGCCTGTTAGCACAGTGGGAAGCCTTGATCGCAATGCCAGAACCAGGGGAGAGCCTGAAGCCTGACGCCACCACTAACCAGCTCTGACCTCTCTTCTACCTCTTGGGAACCAGCTTGGTGGTGCTGTGTCATGCAATTGTCACCAGAATAGAGGAGGCAAGAAGGCACAGCAGACTGAGACGCAAATATATCCTCAGCTATCTTCTAAAAGAACCACATGCGCTTCACAACCAGAGGCCTGCTATTAGTTTGTTTCACCCACCCATATATTGAACCAGTGGTTGCCAACCTTTTTTGGCTTTTAATCCTTGAACTGCAGCAACTCCTGCTTTGCAATTAAAGTGACAGTTCATCTTCAGAATAAAAAAATGCATATTATTCCTCTTACCTGTAGTGCTATTTATCAATACAGACTATTTTAGTGTGTGTTGCCGAGTGTTGGAGATGTCTGCCTTCTCTTCAGTTTAATGCAACTAGACCGCACTCAGCTTGTGGTGCTCAAAGCGCCAAAAAAATACTTTTGGAAAACTCAACAGCAATGTCTCTTTCCAGAAACCATGACCCGGTTACTCAAGATAATCCACAGACCTTGTTGTGAGCAGTTTCATGTAGGAACTATTTGATTTCAACCAAACTACACTTGCCAACCATATCACTGCACAGAAGGAAGTTTGCATGTACTGCTAGCTCACCTAGCATCACTTAACGTAAACCTCTTCTCAATGAGTAGATGTACACTTCCTTCTGGGGGTGATACAGTTGGCAGGTGTAGTTTAGTGGAAAAAAATAGTTCTTACATGAAACTGCTCATGACAAGGTCTGTGGATTATCTTGAATTACCAGGTCATGATTTCTGGAAAGAGACATTGCTGTTGAGTTTTTCAAATGTATTGTTTTTGACACACCACAAGCTGAGTGCCATCAAGTAACATTATGTTCGAAAGAAGGCAGAAATTTCTATGGCTGATATCACCAACACTAACCCAACTCACACCAAAATAATCAAGACTGATAAATAGCATTTTTGATTTGAGGGTGAAATGTCCCTTCAAGTGGTTCACCTCCTATCTAAAGCTTGTCTGTTAGCAAAGATGATTCAGTGTCATCCCTGGCTCCTACCCACTATGGCATCCCACATGGCTCAATTTTAGGTCCCATCCTATTCTCTCTTTACATGCTCCTTCAGAGTGACATCGTACAAAACCATAACATTCAGTTCCATTTCTACGCAGATGATACGCAACTTTATCTGCCGATAAAACGTGACGAAACCAGCCTACAGACCCTTCATGAGTGCTCAGCAGACATTAATAGTTGGATGTCTGACAACTTACTCTAGCTTCATGACACAAAATCTGAGGTCATCCTCTTCCCTTCCTTTAATCACCTCATTATCCCAAACACGGGCAACCCTTAGGAGAGTAACAACCTCTAGTTTGGAAGCCACTTCATTAAACACACCACAGATCTGTTTCCTCTTTACCCACTTCATGATGATTGGCTTGAGAAATGGTTATATAGTCGTTTTCACACTCGCTCTATGGTAATACCCCGCACTCTTCCTTTGATTTTACATTCATATGTTTTCCGTTCTTTCTCCATTCAGACCATAAAACACCTTCGGACAGCAGAGTTTAAACCCTACATTGTGTTCGTAAAGCCTCCTTCGATCGAGAGACTGAAGGAGACCAGACAGAACGCCAAAATCATATCGGGCAAGGACGACAAGGGAACTGCCAAGCCATTCACGGTAAGAGAACACGAGGTTTATTCCTCACACTAAATCAGGCATCGATCAACATAATATGTTGTTTAGAGTTATTTAAACTGTTGGAAGAACCAGATGAGTCAGGTTTGCCTTGATTTAGACAATCACAGGGAATCGATTGGATATGCTTTTCAGTGAGGAGCTGTGACTCCAGCTAGTGCTCCCAAACTGGATGATATCTGTAAATGCTATACAGATGAGATCAACTTAAATGAAAGTTTAATGACCACTGTGAGGAAATAGGATCACTACAGCAGAAAATAACAGGATACAGCTAATAGGATATACATTAAGGAAGGATAAAGGGGGATATTAAACATACAGCTGGGGAGCAAATTTGCAGTGGATACACATGGTGTCCAAACAAAGTCAGACAGTGAAAGATAGTTATTTATTAAGTTTTATGTTCAAAAATGGTAAACATGCAATGACCATATATGTTGACGTGTATATGCTGGAAGAAGATAAGTCACATGAAGTATGTAGCTGGGGAACACGCTGAACACGCAGTGCGATGATGTGATGTTATACTGTAGAAACACATGGCTTTACACCTCACAGATTAGCGGCAGAAGAAATAACAGAAACACTATCGGGACCTTGTGTGTGTGTGTGTGTGTGTGTGTGTGTGTGTGTGTGAGTGGTGAGGTCATCCATTGCACACCTTTATCCCAGCCCGACGGGGACGCAGATGAAATCAATTAGCCAGTGTTCGGTGCTGCTGTGAAGTTGGCGGGTGGGGGAGCAAAGCAGGGGGGAGATGATGGTTTTCCCAGCCCCATCGGGCCCAGCGCTGGCTCACTTGCTCGCGTGCCTCGCTCGCCACAGGCAGCACTAAGGCCAAGATTTCGGTCAGCAACACACCACGGATGGCCTGATGGGACACCATAAGGAGAGAGGGAAGCTGAGAAAGAGACGGGGCTGTCAAAGAGATGGAGACAAACTAGCACTGTAAGAAGACAGGGAACAGTGGAGAGGGTGGTAGAAAGTGAGTTGGGGTCTGATCTGGTGGGTAAAGTGTGACACCTCTTGCAGCAGGGGTTTCATAAAGGTTTTATGTATTCTTTATTGAAAACACGCAAATAACAGAGACAACTGAAACTTTACATTTACTATAGTTTTTTAATTCTTTTAATGTTCCCCACCTCTAGTTCACTTTCCCTTGCAATGTCCTCCAACCTCCACCTTCTGGCAAAAATGTCAGCCAAACCGTGCCACATAAATACTGCTGAAAGTTTACAGACTTTGACATAAGTGACCATTTGCTAATCCCCACTCCTTTGTTGTTACCTTTGTTGTTAGAGCTGCTACTCTGTCAAGCTGTGGAGCTCACATGGAGAGCACACACTGTCGCTAACTGCACTCACTGAAGAAATATTATCTAATGTTTTTTGGAAAATGTTGGTGTAACGTCAGAGAAAAGCAGACAGAGGGGGCTACACTATGCATTTGAAGGATGTACGCAGGATGTTGACTAGCTCAGCAGCAAAAACAGGCTAAAAAAGATGAAGGTATACATATCACATTTAAAAGTGAACCACAAATAGCATCTGGCGATCGAGGCAGAAGACAGAAACACTGTTCCTGTACAACAGAATAGGTCTTCATTCACTGTTATAGTCAAAAAAAGCAAGAGCAGCATTCGGATGCATTCAGTATACTTTCAGTAGCCTAGCATAATAATGAAAATAAAGAAAATACGAAACGACAGCATCAGAATCTGTGGAGCGCAGGTGTATGCGCTATGCTACGCTATGATTGGCCAGTCTGTGTTCGAGCAGAATAGAAACGCAGGTCTCTTGGAATAATCAGTAACTTACATGTAATCTAAGGTTTTATACTCTAAATCTTGATGTGATGAATAAATCAAGAAAAACAAAGTGATCATAATTGTTTAAAGTTTTACCTTTCATTGCTGTCAGGATGATAGGCGTCTTAATGACCAAATGAAATCCGCACTTAAATTTCCCCAAAAAACCTTTGAAATATTGAACATTCCTGCTTCTCTTCTCATTCTATCAAACTGAGCTGCAGTTCACTGTGTAACTGACCTTGGTTTACACATAAGGGCAGAAACACAATGAAGTCGGCTCTCATTCATTTTCTGTGTGAATCAGCAAGGAGCATGATGGGATTGTTATTCCACAGCAGAGAAGCAATGGCAGGGCGCTGTGGAGGCTTCATCCCAGCACGTAACTTTTGTTTCTATGACAACAATATTTCGACATTGACGTTAGCTAGGTAGCTAATGCAACTCCACATTAACAAAGGATTGACTACACAGTTAACAATCTTACAACGGTACGGTGATCAAAGCACAACACTCACGAGCAGCAATCAGTGTCCACTGGCCAAGGGCAACTGAATGGAAAAACTGAATTTCCCCTTGGGGATTAATAAAGTATGTCTTCTTCTTTTTCCTCTAAGAAGAATGAAAAAAGAAGCCAGTGCCGAGAAAAATGTGGCAAAATCCAAACACATGCACTCCTGCAAACTGTGATAGTGACCAATCACAGCTCAGATTGACCCAATTTACATATTTATTGTATCTAAATATTAATTGCACCCTACTTCCTCTTGAAATTACACCCTATATAAGATGCAGCTCCCAAAATACTCTGATCTGTATTGTTGTTGTGGGCTGAGAGGGGGAAGGTGCAGTCTTGCCAAATTTTGGACCCAAACCAAAATGGACCCATCGGAAATCCAACGTGCGTAAATTTTAAAAAAAGGAGACTGAATGACATGATCTCACTGCTACACTGACAAGCTCCTGGTTTAACTCATGAGAGTGAGTCAGTCTGCATGATCGGGCTTCCTCAGTGTCATCCTCCCCCCTCAGTCAAACACACCCAGGTGCTATCACACTGACAGTACAGCACACAGCTACAGGTCACAGGTGAACAGAACATCCCGTAGATATTTCACCTGACTGTCAAACTTTTAAAACCTCGATACAGACACAGAGTCAGCTCCCATTAGTCACACAGTGAAATATCATTTAACCTCTGCCTGCTCCTGGTTTCACAGCCGGGGACCTGAGAACAATGAGCTGTAGTTGTCAGAAACAGGATGATTGCTAACAACCTCTGCTGTAGCTGCTATTAATTACTCTCTTTATTAGATTCTGATATTCTCTCTGGTAATACAAATCTGCCTTTATAAATCTGTGTGACAGGGAGGTGTATTTCAGCCAGGTAACAAACCAGCTTCTGTGTAAATGTTCATGTACACTGACAGGACGTAAGCCGCCTCAGATTCGCTATGAAAGGCTCTGAAAGAGAAGCTGTTGTTGGGCGAGTTGTCTCAGACGTACTCCATCCACCGCCAGCTGTATTTTTCTCGCAGAGAGACAGGTCTGCTTTAATGATAAAGGCTGAGGAACAGTCATCTCATTGTTCCAGCAGAGCGGTCTGACTTTAGCCTCATTGTTTGAGCTGGAGATGATTCAGGGTCGCTTTTCACAAAAGGAGCTGAAGCGTGATGTAGAAACAACCCAAAACAGGCTGATGCAATGCATGATTCAGGTTGTAATGTGGTTAGTGCAGAAAATGGCACGTTATGTGAGGTTACCACAATCATTTAAAACAGATTTGTAAAGATCTTTTTGCTTTCTGGCGCTTTTCAAACCCCCCCATGCCCATTTTTAAAATACTAATATTTTGTTTAACATGGTTTTCCCACACAACAGTTACAAAAAACTCTGAAAGTAGCCAGAAACAGATCTACTCTTTCTCCTTCATTGAGGAATTCTGGATTTGGCCAACCACCATTTCTTGCTGTAGGTTTTGTTTCTGCACTGCTCTCCAGTACTGCTTGTACTAAGTTGACCCCGGGCCCCTAGGAACGCCATTCACTCTTGCTTACAATTTTTTTTTCAGTGTCCACTCGCAGTATTGCAGTGAAAATATCCCTGGGGCCCAAAAAACATTTTCTGCTTAGACAACCATTATATAAGAGATATAACTGTTGACAGGACACCCCAAACTTCTTTCTCTTATGAATTTTTGATCCATGAAGATTGTAAACTAGTAAAACTTTCCTCGAGCTAAGAAGAGTGATTTAAAAATCTGTGACGTCATCACAATGTAAAGTCTATGAGCCAATTGTGAACTCACAGGCAGGACCAGTGGGAGAAACATTACCACGCATATTCAGAGGGCCACATGTTAGCAAACAGTATGATGGCAGAGCGTTATCTTGGCACTCTGTCTGTGGAGACGGAGCAGCAGATTGCTGAGCAGAGTGAACATGTGATTAACTTAACTATTCGTTAATTCATATAGAAATATAACGCTCCATTTCTTAGACCAACAGGGCTCTCATTTTAGTGTAGATCGTCAGACTGAATTTACCAACGCACCATGTCAGGTCACTCACTCTCCAGGACCGCCAGTGTTACTTGAAAAAGTAAACACTGACCAACGGGACCAGACTGGCCGACCCGTATGCTCTCACTCACTCTGTGACATCATCCATCCGATGATGTCACAGGAAGCCAATCTTACAAAGGAGGACGACACTTGTTTGTTTTGCTATGGAAGCTAACGTTAGCTAATGTGCTAAAAAGTTAGTGTTCCAGAGAAATCCAATATTCCTCTTAATCCCTCCCCACTTTCTGATGAGGTGGACATGATAACCCTTAATACACATAACGTTATTCATCCCTACAACAGGAAATACTTTTTCCCTAACCTGATATGAAGTGTGCACTGCACATGTGAGCATTTTTGATGATGGCCTCCGTCCAGTCCTTTGGTCTTATCAAATTTAACCATCTTTGTTTTTGTTGACGGGCAGTGGCGGCTGGTTTTGAGCCATGACTCCTTCTATTCTGGCTCCCAATAACACAACAAGACAAACACATTTTAAGACTCCTATGTAGCCTACAGCCCTGTGGGGGAGAGGCAGGTTTTGCCTCCAGCTAACAAACTGATGCCATCGTGACATCGGCCCTAAAGGGGTCTATACCCCGGGAGTGA